GATCCTTGCTGTAAAGATTTGTTTCGTTTTTTTAAGCTACTACATCCATAAGTATAGATAGGTAAAGTTCATCAAATTGCAGCAGGTTACTTTTTTTTTTCTCCCCTCTTCTTTTTTCTTCTAGTCAAGTTCTGATCATTCACCCATCAAAGCCAGGTCAAGTGGGTGCTATCTGCAAGTATGGGTGTTCTTGTGCATCTACCCTCACTTCATATCAGCTGGATGCTTCACTCTCTGCTCTAGTACTCTGTGGCCATGTCACAGCCTCTGGGCCCAGGAGTCCCTGGGTTTTGCCATACTGTTGGCCATCCAGGTCTCCACGTAGGTTCATGAGGGTCTATTGAATGTGGTCGGGCTTAGCTCGCAACTTCATTGCTCTTTTTCCCTCTCTTCCCCTTATCAGTGACCAACGCGGTCACCAGCCAGATCACATGCTTGCTCATGTATTCCCCTTGAGTCTCAGTCTTGGGAGGTGCTTTGCTCTGAGGGGTCCTGACCACTTGCCTTGATGGCTCCCCAGCGAACAGCTTACTTGTTCTTGTAGTAATCAATCAGACTGCCATTATTGTTTCAGATTTTTCCTGTCAGTCTTTCTTTCACAAAGTATCTTCTGTTCTTTGAGCTGCTCCAGACTGGTCTACTCATCCTTTCCAGTGGAAATTTCCTACCTCAGTTGGTTCTGGATGGGGTTCTGGATTCCACCTATGGTCTTGTGCAATGTAAAGGCTCCAAGGAAGCCTCTTTCACTGGGCAGCTTCTAGCCCCCTTTAAGGTATTCCAAACAGTTACAGGCTGAAGACAGACTTACAAGCTTTCTGTAGCGATGATTCTGGCTATTCCTTCTCCCCTCTTCAAATGTCTATTTTACGATGGTGGGCAAGGGAAACCAAGATTCAAAAGACAGCCAAGAATCTTAACATTATTCCCCTCATTTACCCATTGAAACCATGCCTCAATCCTTGTATCCCAGAGCCCTGTTGTTGCAAAGTTGTACGTACATCATCATTTACCTCTTTCCCACTTAGCCCATGCTAACCTGCCTAACTGTTCTCTTCAGCCTTGTTCTTCCATTCCCTTACCTCTTCTTGTGTATTGCACCCCCTGCCTCCCCCTCCCCCAAGCTATCCTGTATCTATTCCTTACCCTGTGCTCTATCTTACCCTCCCTGCCCTCCTCTCATCCCATACATCCTGGTGATCAGCAAATATTTATATATTTTTCCCCCTTTTTGTGTGGGTTCTTTTTCTTACTCTTTTACAATAATGGCCCTATGCAGTATTTCTCCTTTTGTGATTGACTAATTTCACTCAGCATAATGTCCTCAAGGTTCATCCATGTTATGAAGTGGCTTGCAGCTTCCTTGTTCTTCAAGGTAGTATAGTTTTCCATCGTGTGTATGTACCACAGCTTGTTTATCCATTCTGTAGTTGATGGGCACTTAGGCCATCTCCATCTTTTTGCTATT